TTGTATCACTTCTTTAAAAATTACCCTTTACATTTAGTCTTTCATTCAACACATTTCTATTGTGTATCATGCATTGCTTTAGGGGCTGACCATTCAAGTGTGAATTCCTCCATCACTACATCATAAAGGAACTCACAGTCTAAAAAGAGTCAAAGGCATCACTACTACAAAATGTCTTTGCTGAGGATTGCCAAATAAAATACAGGATACCTAGTTAAATTTGAATTTTATATAAACAATGAATAATTTTTAGTATAAAATAATTCTAACGCACTGAATTTAATGAATAAACTTAAGGAATATATTTTTAGTATAATAAATAATTTTTAGTACAAATTAACTTTTAGTGCACTCTCAAGCACTATTTGGGTCATATTTATATTTTTTAGAAAATTTATTTTTATCTGAAGCTCAAATTTAATTGGGTGTCCTGTATTGTCTTTTAAATATAGGATGCTTCACAAAATTGTGTGTCATCCTTGACACAGGGGCCACGCTTGCCATCAATGTATCATTCCAATTTTAGTGTGTGTGCTGCTGAAGTGAGCACTGGGTGTCCCGTGTTTTTATTGGCTAAATCTGACCATTTCACTTTGGTGTGTCTGGGAATTGTCTGATGTCAGGGCTACACATATGTGGTTGTGAAATGTCCATGGTCTCTCATAAGTTTCCTTACTCTGCAAATTATTTTCAAAGTGTCTCTAATATGAATACAGATAGAGGCAGATGGGGGGAAAGAGCATGTTTTCCCTGCAGAATCTGTGTGGCTCGAACTATAAAATATTGTATAGTCACTGAATAAAACATAGGATTAAGGGACAAGTAAAATATCTGTACTTCATATACTATGACAGTAATAAGTCATTCCTGTTTGGCTCACATACACTATTGCTCAATTTTATCCATTGTCAATGACAAATATATTTGTGCAGAAATTATTAGTTTGGGTCAATTCAATATTTATTGAGAATGTAAGTCTGAGAATATCATTGTTATTTCTTTTAGAAGAAAAATTTGGTTTTTGTCATAATAAGATGTTTGTCAGGAGATCTTATTTTACTTGAAAACAAAATTTTAGATTTATCTTGTGTTTTGCATCTCACATATTTTGTTCACATAATGATTGACACATGGCAGATACTCAGTATTCTTGTAGTGAAATTTCTGCAAAGGGGAAAGCATATGTTACTTTCTGCAACATAGTCAAACCTTTTATTTGGATTTGTCCTACTAGTAACTTTCTACCTAAAAAGCAATTATTTCTAACACCCTGAGATTTGCATCCTGATGGCCCTTAGAAGTTTAACTAGATGGCCTATTACTGCCTTTCATAAAATCAGGCATAAAACAGGTAGGAGAATCCTCATTGACAGGTCCAGAACTGAGTGTGATGTGTTACTCTGAGTCTATCTGAAGAAGAGATAATTATGTTTAAGAGAAAACCACAGTAAGTTACACATTTAGCCTTTTAGTATCTTATCATGATTGACTATAAAATAATTTAGTTATATTTGAAGGATATAATTTAGTGATTAAAACTGTATTAAAGAACTCAAAAAGGTAGGAGCCATTTTTTTCTATGTCAGGAACATTTAATATAGTGTGAGATTCAGGATAATTCTTCCTCTGTGTATTAGTAGAATAATCTGTTTTTATATTTCATATATTTTCAAAATATATCTAAAACGGTGATTGAAAAAATCAACCATAAGCTTTGTAAATTATTTGTGGATGAATATTGCTTAAATGTCCATTTCTCTCTCAAAAAGAAAACATATCATTATAGCAAAGATCTCAGGTGTCTTAAATATTTGCTTTGTTATAATTCGATCTTGGTTAGTAAATTCTCATTTGTCTTGTGGATAAGCACATTTTTGTGTGTTTAAAATTAAGGGTATTAAAGTCTTCTAGAGCCCTTCTTTATCCTGAACTAAACTTTTTATTTAATTAACTAACCCATTTGAAAACGAGTTTGCTTTTTTAAATAGACTGTTTTTCACAGCATTTTTAGGTTCACAGAAAATAGAGTGGCAAATAGAGAGTTCCCATAAACTCTGTCCCTGTACACATGTATAATCTCCTCCACTATCAATATTCTACACCAGAGTGGTACATTTGTTAGAATCAATGAACCTACAGTGAACTACAATTCTTCAATTGTTAGCATTTTACCTTTATCATTCTCTTTTCTCTTGTTTCTTCTCTTTCTGTGTGTATAGATCTACATCTATATCTGCATCCATATCTATAAACTAAAAAGACCTTCTTGACAAAGTGGTTGGACTGATTTAAACTGCTTCACCAACCATATGGAGGACATTGTGCCTTCTTGAATTTATCAAAGAAGCTTTGCTGATTCCAAATATTTTATTAACAGCATGATTTATGATCGTTTTGAAATGGCGTTAGTGATTATGAGGAGCGATCTCATATTATTTAAGAATAATACATGTTCAATCCACGTTGCTTCCTTGGAATGGTTGCTCTTGATTTTGAGATTGTTTATTTTCAGATACAACTCACTACCCTCCATCCCTCATTCATGTGTTACTGGCTCTGTCTCTCTTGGATAGAATATTGCACCTGCCTTCTTACAGAGTGTCCCACCATTAGCCTTTCTAGTTTTTAGTTCATGCTCAGTACCAAAGTAATTTTTCTAAAATAATATCTAATATGAAGTGCACACCAGTAAATCGGAACCGGCATTAGTGATTTCTTCTAAAGATTTAAACATATTATCCAAAAAATAATTAATTAGTATCTATAGTGGGAACTTCTCATTGAGGAGCTCACATAAGTCAGCAGTGTTGATTGTATTAAAATAATTGTTAGTTATATTAAGAGAATCATATTCTTTAGAATGGGAGAGGTAATTTCTCTTATTGTGCTGATCATAAGCTAATGACGGATATTTCAACATCTATACATCCTGGCCCCTTTTCCCTACTCCACTACTAACTCTATTACAAAACATAATAGAAGAGTCATATTTTTCTTTTCCCCCAACAACCACAACCTAAACTCCACTATTCAGATAAATTCTAAGGGAATGTATCCTCAAATTTGCATTGCACTACAAAGATTTATATGGTCAAATTTAGATTTATTGCTACTTCCATTTCCTTGCCATTTAAAAGTGAAAATAGTCTTTTCTCTCTTCTATCAGAGGCAAGCACAGGATTTAGTCTTCTTAAAAGCTTAATTTAAAATCAATGTTTGCCTGCTCCCTAAGCTTTTGAAAAATATCTAGGATAGTGTTGGAGTGGAAAGCAAATGTGTAAAACAAGTTCTGAAAATCAGAAAATCAGCACTGTACTGGGTCATTGGAAAGTGCTGCTCGATTTTAAATGCATAAACATTTCTGATAGTCATTTAGCTGTTTTTTTGTTTGTTTGTTTGTTTGTTTTTTGCCTACCTCCAACCACTCTGGATGATCCATTATACTTTTGAAAACATTAAAAATTATGTTCACCTTTATTTTTAGCCTAAGTATTATCTCTGTATAATCCCGTCCACTTGACTTTAGGGACCCAGAACAACTCTCTTCCCTTTAGTGTAGAAAGAATTTCTTCTTTGCTCCAATCCTTTCTTTCTCTTTCTAAATGCTCATTCTTCTAAGTTTGATCTGAACCCATTGACTCTTCTGGAGCCAATGATTCATCATTTATTTGAATCTCTCCCTCTCAATTTATTCTTCTCATCAAGCAATTAAAATATTTTCCTGTTAAGAAAGTATTGTCTTGACCGCATATCTCTTTATAATTACAGTACCAGGTGTGTCTTCTTTCGTAATGTCCTTATAAGATTAGACTATAATTATCACCACTTCCTCACCTCCCAGTGTTCTCAAATCACTGACGGGTAGATTCTGCTTTCCTTTCCCATTAATAGTGGTCTTTCAAAGTTAAAAAAGAAACCACACTGTAATGGTCTTGCAAGTGCAGTGCACCTGAAACTAAAAACTCATCATTCCTCCAAAACTGGTATTTCTGTGGTCCACAAAACCTGAGAAGTCTCCTTGGCCCCTTCTTTCTCATCACCTTCATTCTAATTAGTCACCAAATCCTACAACTTACTCTTGAGTTCTACTTTGTTTCTATTATTATTTCTTCAGATAATCAATGGGCCCTATCAGTTCCTGGACACATGCCTTCCGACTAAGGAGGCATTATTTCTCTTGCCTTACTGGCTGGCTTTTGTGATAATATAGTTAGACTGCTCATAACACATTGGCCTTGGCTTAGGATTTACTCAGTGTTTTTTGTTCTTGAATGAGAGTATGCCTAGCAGGCCTAGAATACCTCCATTGCATCCCCAGACTATTGTAATCTTATTCTCTTCTTTTTCTTCACAATTGACTCTTGTCATACTGATTCCATTCACGCAGAGGACTGGTGGGGCCTGGGGACTTCGAACTTTCCCTGATGTTTCCAGCAGCAGTATTTGGCCTTTAGTTATGTAAAACTTTGAGAGTTAAGAAGCACTTATATTTTGGGGCTGTCACAAAACCCTAAATTTGCCATTGGCCAAATTCTCTCTAAGTATCCACTTTTACTTACATTATTTCTAGATAAGCCTCTCCTGTTCCTTAAAATAGGAATAGGAGCTGAGGAGGTCCATAGCCCTGGAAGAGTCTCTCATTACTCTCTTAAGAAAAGATATAACTACATAGACAATGTACAATTGAGAAGCTGGCGTAAATCAAAGTCCTAGAAAACTAATTATTGACTACTGTTTCTCCTTTTGTCATAATAGTTATTATAGTCACACTTACGTAGCACTAAATGTTGTTCTAAAGGTGTCTTATATAATTGTTTAATCCTCCAGCAAACCTATGATGTGGGTAACATTGCCATCTTCCCACTCTCATAGGAAAACTGAGGTAAAAATGATTTGTCCAGTCACCCAGATTGTTAAGTTACAGACCTGAAGTGTGAACCCATATACTTAATTATTAATTTATATTGCCTCTTCCTGAAGACACTTAAGAGATTCTACACCTACGAATCCCATACCAAACTCAGACCAGGTGCCTGACGCAGTGGAAACATGTCCCTACTTTGCTTTCCTGATACATAGTACACTTTACAAAGCTTGTTGTCAAATGTCAGTACGATGAACAGTGTGTGATGCGAGAAATAAACATCATTCCAGGAATTCAAGCTTGCTGTGCAGTCTGCCCAAATAAGATTATTGTTAGCCCGAGGAGAATATTGACTTGTGTTTCCCTTCAGTTACCTAAGTAGATATATTTTAGAACTAATCCCTAAAAGAATTTGGAAAATCAATATAAGAGAGTTGAGCAGAAAAGAGACATCGAGCCTGGAGAACAAAGGGGCACTAATAGAACTCTTCTTTTCTTCCCTAAAGCTTCTAGCACCTGGTTGATTTCCAAAAATCTTATCAGGAAAAGAGAACATAGTAAGAGTATTTATCCTTTATTGACTATCAACTCTATGCCAAATGTTTTTGCATTTGTTATCGTTAATCACTCCCAAACCTCAAATTAGATATATCATTTCTCCATTTTGCAGATGTTTCCTAAGGCAG